CCTCTAAGAGCCGTGAGGTCACCGGGCCGCGCGGAGCGGACGGACGGACGGACGGACGGACGGAGGGACGGCTGCGGAGGCATCACGGACGGGGCTGAGCGCGAGGGAGCGTGAGTGTGGGCGGCGGTCCGGGCCTGACCCCCGGGCCCCCGGGTGGGGTCGGCCGGAGCCCGGCCCACCTCCCCAGGCGGGATTTGAACTCGCGGCCCCAAGGCCGAGGCCGCGCGCACACTCGGATGGGCCCCCGGGCCCGGGACTGCACACCGAGCACCGGCCACCACCGAGCACCTTGCGGGGTCACGTGTGTGTGTGTGTGGCCTTTGACCTTTCCTGCTCCTCTGACTCTGACCCTAGACGGAGACTCCTTGTAGCCAACGGGGCGCCCCTTTGGGTCGGGCTTGGCGCACTCAGCACGGCTCGGCTCGTTTACCCCACCTGGGGAGGGGTGACCCTGGCAGCGGGAGCCCACAGGCCGGGACTGGGGGGGAGGGAGGGGAAGAGGGGGGACCTCCAAGGGAAGGGGGGACTGTGCTCCCCAGGAAGCGCCCCGCCGCGCCCTCCGTGGCCTGACCCGCTGCACAGCGCCTCATTCAGCAGGGAGCCGTGTGGGGCCGAGGGTGCGGTGCAGCCAGGGGCCTGTGTGGCGCTGGAGGCGTCCTGTCCTCGGGGGCACACGAGTAATCGCTCATTTTGCCAACTGTGCATCGTGAGCAGACGCTAGGTGTTTACTTCTCAGGGTACAAAGATCTCCCAACAGATGCAGCCCTTTCGTGCTCAGTGGTTTCTTGCAGCCCAGACGTACACCTTCCTGCACCAGTTCCGGGGGTGAGCTGGAGAGGGGCACGTGGAGGAGGGAGGCCCAGTGTTAGAGCACAGCACAGCCATGTGTCCCTTCCTGCCACCGGCCTCCACCGCGGACCCCCTTCCCAAGGGCTGCTGCGAATTTCTATAGCTCTGTTGGTGAGGACACCTCTGGATTTCTGGGTCACCCAGCCCACCTCAAATTCAGAGGCACCGGTGGGAGCTGTGGCCCAGTAGTGGAAAGCTTGCCCAGCACGTTCAAGGCCCTGGGTTCCATTCCCAGAGCCACACCCACCCCGAGAAAAAAAAAGGAAAGCAAAGAAAACCGAATAGCACTGAAGTTCCATAGTTAACTAGGAAGGAGGAGGGAGCACTCGGCTAATGCTCAGCCCTGGACTCGACCTCCCCAAGCACACCAGGCAGCCCTGCGCAGCCACCGAGGGATGGGACCGAGTGAGAGGCCCTGGGTGGGATTTCTTTTTCTTTTCTTTTCTTTTTTTTTCCAGTCCTGGGGCTTGAACTCAGGGCCTGGGTGATGTCCTTCAGGTTTGGGGTTTGTTTTTGTTTTTTTGCTCAAGGCTAGCACTCTACCACTTGCAGCTTTTTCTATGTATGTGGTGCTGAGGAATGGAACCCAGGGCTTCATGCCTGCTGGGCAAGCGCTCTACTACCTAAGCCACCTTCCATTTTTGTTTGTTTTAAGGAAAAACTTAATTCCTTTTGTAAGTTCTTAGTGGATTGTCTGTTGAAGAGGACGCTGTGGCTTAGCCCCATGGGTTTCCTGTTTGCCCGAGTGTGGGGGCTGCCTGCCCTTCAGGAGGTGTGTGCCACCTAACCCATCCCCCCGGACCTGGCTTTGCAACCAGGCCGTCAGGGGTCCTGCTCAAGGGTTTTGTTCCAGAACCCAGAGATGTTGCATTGTGCACTGTTGCCCAAAGTGAGGACCCCATTTCTCCTGTGATCGGGGCTTTTGGCAATGTCACTTACTGTGGGGTGGTGGTGACAGAGAACCCGACACACAGAAGGAAAGGAGCATGACTCCGGCCGGCTCCAGCTTTTGAGGCGCCAGCCGTGGGGGGGGGGGCAGGAGACCCAGAGCTGTTCACATCCGGGCACCCACTCGCCCCCCCCACCTACTTCCTACAACCGGGCCCGCCCCAGGCCTCTCCATGAGTCACCAGGGTGAATCCAGCCATTAAGTCAGACTCCTCACAGTCTAATTGTCTCTGGAAACACCCTCAAACAAGCATCCAGACACACCCAGCGTTGTGTGTCACTCACCGCCTGGCCATTCCTTAAGTTGGAGATCAAAATTACCCATCAGAGGCGAGCAGAAAGATGAAGTCTGGTGGCTAACCCCACTCCCTACTGCCGGCTCTGAACAGCTGGACAGCGCCTCTCCTCCACTGCTGAGTTCTCTGGCCGCCGACCTACCCTTGAATAACTTCTTTAAGAATAAAAAGTAGGACTAGAAATGTGGCTCAGTGATGGATGCTTGCCTAGCATGCATGAGGCCCTGGCTTCTATTCCTCAGCACCACATACACAGAAAAAGCTGGAAGTGGCGCTGTGGCTCAAGTAGTAGAGTGCTAGCCTTGAGCTCAGAGACAGTGCCCAGGCCCTGAGTTCAAGCCTCAAGAACAACAAAGCACACACACACACACACACCCCCCGAGGCACAGATGACCCCCTCTGTCTACGAAGGTCACGGGGTGACCTGGAATGCTTCCCAGTCCCCCACCCACGTAAGCATTCACAGAAGGCTGTGTTCCACACTCAGGTGAGGCAGCCACAGACGGTGGCTAGGATGTTAGATCTTTAACAAAACAAAGACCCAGGTCCACGCGCCACGCGGCAGAGGCGTGCGCGGGAGCTCCGTGAGCGCCTCCTGACCTGAGGGCTGCGTCTTGTCACCCAGGGAGGCCCAAGTCAGCCTCTGCACACTGCGTTCTTTTCCTGTTAAACCTCAATACCCCTTTCACTACACTTCCCATCCGGTCCAAAGTCCTTTCTCGTAAGACATAAGGCTCACAGAAGCTTCTCTGACCCTCAATATTTACATAATTACGTAAAATACAATTAGGTATATTCTAAGTAAACGTATACGTTTATATTGTATATTTAAGATCCTTTGTAGCTGAAGGATGTGCTTCCATTTGTGCATAAAATATATGACAAAGTGATATATGATATATGATAGTCTATAGTTGCTGTATAGTTTTACACGTGTACGTCTATCTTCTGTCCCCGCCCTGAATGATTCTGAGTGTCCCATCGAGCCAGTGAAGGAGAACAAGAGGGAAGTGAGCTGGGAGCTGGCGGCTCACGCCTGTAATCCCAACTACTCAGGGCTGAGAGCTGAGAATCCCAGTTCCAGGTCAGCCCAGGCTGACGAGACTCTCACCAAATGATCGGCCAAATGCCAGGAGTGGCGCCATGGTTCAAGTGGTAGACGACTACCAGCCCAGCAAGGTTCAGGTGGTAGACTGCCAGCCTAGCGAGCAGAAGACCCTGCTTCCAGTGCTGGCAGAAAATGGCAGTGTTATCTGCCTGGGTCCGGTTCTTTCAGCATTTATTGAACATAAGATAATGCCCCTCTGCATCATCCTGCCCACAGCCGGTGTGGGTTACCACGCCAGGAGCTTTGCAGAAGAGATTGGCACTATCCACCTGGACTGGTTATCACAAGCAGACGGAGTTAATCACAAAGGCTCGGTATCCCATAATTAACGCCTTTTCCTAAGGACAGCAAAATGAGTAGATATTCATCTTGGAGCAAGCAAGGATCTAATTAAAATATTTTTTTCTTATTCGGGTCAGATGTAATGCAGTCTTTATACACACCAAAAAACCTCCCACCCCGCCTCATAGTTTGCATTGCTTTCGTTAAACTTCTACAAGAAACACGGATCTTTATTAATATCTTATTAAAAGCATTGCTCCGTCCCCCAGGGAAGCAACAAATTGTTCCCCACTTTCCTGACAGCGGCTTACATTTCATGCATCCTCATTTAAAAGGAACTTAGGTCATTAAACAACAAGATTCTTTCAGAATTACTAAAAGCTGCCTTCTGAGAGGCTGAAAAAATGTGTTTAATGTGGTCTCAGATAAGGTGATCGGAACGCCCTCCAAGGCGGTGTGGACGGCCCTGCCCACCGCCTGCCCACGCCCTGGCTTCGGTCCCGCACACGGCCCCTGCCCCCAGCCCAGCTCAGCCAGCCTCAGGAAAGGAATTCCTACGCCTCCCCGGCCCAGCGCACGAAAACACTGGTCACAGAACCTCAGCCAGGTTTTGCGTGTGAATCTCTGCTGCTGGCATGCAGCAGCTGGCCTCAAGCACACAGGCAGTGTGTATCTGTACGTGTGTGTATGTCTGTGGCACACAGGCAGGTGGACTCCTCCCTGGGTTCCCACGGCCGCAGGGGCAGCTGCCCGCGTCACCTCCCTCCACCCCATTTCCCGATGAGTGCTCTTTTCACTTCTTTGCTTTTCATGGCTCTGCAGTCTTCTCTGCTGCTAAGATTGCGACCACCCCGAGGCCTGAGTTCATGAGGAGCCTTGGAGACCACGCACGGGCCCAGGGTTCTCCGTCTACAGCTAGAACCCAGGTCCCCAGGAGGATGATCGGCTGGTTCAGTGTCACCCAGATTGGAGATGGGGTAGTTTTCCCAACAGAATTCACTCCTAAAACCATTTTGTGTTGTGTTTTGTTTTGGTTGGTCGTGGGCCTGAACTCGGGGCCTGGGCGCTGTCCCTGAGCTCAAGGGAGCGCTCTACCCCGGAGCCCCCTCCCCAGCCTGACTCCTGACATGGCTTTATGGGCACGCCTCCTCATCTGGGCCTTTCCAGAGCGCACAGCACAGCGGGGCTGGAGAGCCAACGTCCCGTCACCTCTCAGACCACCGTGCACCCCCACATCCCCACGCCAGGCCCGGGGCTCCAGCCCGAGGTCGAGGACTGGCCGCCATGTCCATCCAGTGAGTTTTTCTGGGATGATGACGGCGGAGTGTGGTGAACACGGAGTGCGGGGCCGGGGCGACCCGTGACCTCCAAGCCCGGGTCAGCGCCGAGAGAGGAAATGGGCAGCCAGGAAAACACCAGCCAAGCCCTGAGAGAGGACGACCAGATTTAGCCAATCCACAGACTTGGGACATAGAACAAAGCATTATCCATGGTCTGAGATTCAAAGTTAATGTGATGCCTTGTGTGTGGCAACCCTTGTTAAAGGCTACCTCCTTTCTTTTCCCATGGTTCTGTTCTAGTTATTCCAGAGCAAATTAAATGTCTGTAGGAAAAAAAAAGTCTGTTCTAAAGAAATATTCATTCTTAAATGAGTACTATTGCTTTGTGTCTGCAAGTTACATTACACTTCAAAATAGACATCCTTTTTCACTCACCTGTTCATATGGAATTTTGGGGCTTAACTTACCTTGGTGATTCCTCATTTGAGCTTTAGATCTATCAGTGTGTGTGTGTGTGTGTGTGTGTGTGTGTGTGTGTGTGTGTGTGTGTGTGATAACTGGTTTGAACCTGGGGCCTTGTGTTTGCTTAGCTTGTTCACTCCTGGCTAGGGCTTGAACCATGCCTCCAGCCCAGGTTTTGTTAGTTTGGAGAAGGGTTCTCAAGGACTTTATACTAGGGATTAGCCTCAAACCTCAATCCTCTAGATCTCATCCTCCTTTAAAGAAACACATTTCCCAACGTCTTAACTCCGTTCTCAAACTCTTTTGAGGCTGGTTCATCAGTGGGTATTTGGGTTGTTTCCATCTCTGCTATTGCAAATCATGGTACAATGAACAGCACTGCACGTGTATTACTTTTGTTTTTGTATTCCTGAGAATGTACATTTGGGATAGACTCAGAGATAAGATACTGCGGAGGCGAGGTGTAAACGAGCGTGTGTT